TCGGGTAGGCTCGTCAACGGCAAGCATCTTGCCGGAGTTCCGGTCTTTAGCTAGAAGAATCCCACTCTCTTCAAAGAGTTCCCTAATCGCTGCACGCCGGTAGCTAGGGGAATCTCCATGCCGCGCTAGGTCTCCGGCTGGTGGGCATTCCCCATCTTGGCTGGATAGGTTCCCACCTGGGAAGACATGCGCAGATGCAAAAGAGGTAGAGGTCTTCACGCGATGAAGAAGAAGGATCTCGTTTTTTGGAGATATAAGAAGCACACTATTGAATAGTCAGTTATTCGATTCTTGTTTTGTTTTGGAATGTCTCCCTTTTGGTGACCATCCATCTATCTCCAGTCATGTGGCCCCTTGCTGCTGGCTTACCTAGAACTAGGCCGGGGGACCGCAGGCTCGTTATCACGTTTTGGGCTAGGCATTTTCTGGGAATTTGGAGGAACTGTAGTCGTGTATTGTCTCCCAGGAGATTTACCGCTTGGGCGTTGGAAGGACTGGACCGAGGCAATATGAGATGCGGGAGATGTCCGAAAAACAAGGCGAACAGCGAATGTTTGACCCAATCGCTGTGCTAAGTGACGAGAAAGAGATCCTTGATAGATAAAGGACATCGTAAGATCTCGAAGCCGAGGAACGGCTTCTCAATATAATAAAAGGTAAAGACCCGAGAGCCTAGGCAGTTCTTCGGTACCCCGCGTGCAGCTTAACCTTATCGAGTTTAGCCGAATGCAACGCCATGTGCTCAGCCAACCTACAGGCCTTCTACAACACCTCTAGGTGACATTTAAAGTTGAAATAGATCGAGAAAAATAAAACGTGTTTGTTCATTACCAGAAATGGCGTAAGTCTTCAAATCGTAAACTCCTATCCTGTACCCTTATTTTTAATTTTCAAGGCCCCATCATCCATCGGGGCGACCCAATGATGTATTCACAGAAAGTCCAGTCAACTCTTACGAAGCTTTGATCTTACGAGTAAAGCTTCTTGTCGTAGCTGTGGAGACCGTGGACGTTACCCTCGGTCATAGCGCTGGCACTTCTCATCTCGAAACGCACGGTACCCTTGTTGACACCGTCGTGCAGATCGGTCAGGCTCTTGACACCAATGTCCTGCAGGGAGTGCTGGACACCGGCAACGAGGTAAGGAACAAATTTGGTGACGGATCCGCGGTCAAGGACGGAGCCAGCGACACCCTGGGCAACAAGGACGCGGTCCTTCTCGGAGAAGTAGCGAGCAGTACCAGCGTTGCTGGCCTTGCTGTCTTTTCCGTCACCACCGGCCTTCTTATCCTCCATGGCGGCAATACTGCCCATGCCACGGTAGGCCTTGACGAGCTGGCCCTCGTTGCTGACGAAGTACTCACCGGGAGACTCGGTGGTACCGGCAAGGAGACCGCCCATCATGATAGTGCTGGCACCCATGGCCAGACCCTTAACGATGTGGCCAACGTTCTGGATACCGCCGTCGGCGATACAGGGAACACCGAAGCGAGCGGCAAAGGATGCAACGCTGCGCACGGAAGCAGCCTGGGGACGGCCGACAGCCATAACCTCCTGGGTGATACAGGCACTACCGCTGCCCATGCCAATTCTCAGGCCATCGACACCGGCGGCAATCAAAGCAGCAGCCTGCTCACGGGTAACAACGTTACCACCGATAACGTCAATCTCGGGCATGTTCTTCTTAATGTACTTGATCATCTCGATCTGGTACATAGAGTTACCCTGGCTGGAATCCAGAATAACAATGTCCAACCCAGCCTCAACAAGAAGCTGGAGGCGCTTCTTGTCCTCCTCGCGAGTGCCAATAGCAGCGGCAGAGATCAGCTGCTTGGAGTCGGGGAGCTTGGAGGCAAGGGGGTAGTGGAGGTTCTTCATCAGATCAGAGCGAGAAAGCAGGGAGACGATGTTGCCGTTGGCATCGACAATGGGGAGCTTTCCCTTCTTGGACTGACGGAGAACCTCGTTGGCCTCGGTCAGAGTTGTGCCAGCAGGGGCAGTAACAAGATCCGTGGCCATAACGGCAGTCACGGGCTCGTTGAGATCAGTGTGGAACTGAATGTCACGCGAGGTAACCATTCCAACGAGCTTGGACTTGAGGGTTCCGTTCTCTATGTTCCAACGTTAGCATTTGCTGTCGAAAGCTCATGTAAGGACAAGATCCAAAATAGACAAAGTGCTCAGATAAAATCTGGTTCTCTACAGTGCGACTTTCGTCGCTGCAGTGGAACGAAAGTTATAATTAAAAAGAAGGTGGTCATCATGCAAAGTGGGTCGGGTAGGTGCTGGGATAAGTAGATGAGGGTATCTTACCAGTGACAGGGAAGCCACCAAAGCCCCACTTGGCCTTCAGCTCCTTGACCTCACCGACGGTGGCCTTGGGAGAGATGACAACAGGGTCGAGAATGAAACCGTTCTCGTATCTCTTAACCTTACGGACCATCTCTGCCTGATCCTCCGGAGAGCAGTTGTGGTGGATGACACCGAGACCACCGAGCAGAGCCATGTGGATAGCCATGTTGTGCTCGGTGACAGTGTCCATGGGCGAGGACAGAAGGGGAGTCTTCAGTGTGATACGCTTAGTAACAGGGGTATCCAATGAGACATCGGAAGCGGGGAAGCCTACATCGGTTAGAAAACAAGCACAAATTTTTTTCTTCGACTGCGGGGTTCGGCTTACCGATGTAACCAGGCAGGATCAGGAAATCATTGTAGGTCAATGCGCCGTGCTTGTCAGAATCAAGCAGGGTATCCGCATCAAGACCATCGGCGGTGGTATAGGTATCCAAAACCTCCAACGCCTTGGCGTAGTCGGTGATCTCAGCCTTCATGGCGGCACCAGGTGCAGCGTCGCCGGCGGTGATAGGCATGATTAAAAGAAAGTGTGTTTAAAATAAAGACCGAGACACGACCCGAAGGAAATCTTAATCGACAGAAAGAAACGTTCTGCGATGGAGAAAGTCGAGCTTTCCCAAGGAAGAGAAAGAAGAAGAAAAAGTTCGAGCGAAAAATTGCTTCCTTTTCTCTTCCGTGCACGGCCAAGCCAAGAGGGAGCTTGTCTACTTCTGGTATAGCGTACTGGCTTTTTTCCCTGTTCGCGCTGTTGATTGGCTTGTAAACGAGCTCCCTAAAGGCGGTAGGCTTGTTTATGCTTATCATACATCGATGCAATACTACCATGTAGAGCTAAGATCTACTTCAATATAATAATGTAACGTTGTCAGGTGTGATTCTGATATGCACTCCTTTTGTGAAAGAAAGATATTTTGCCAATAAACTGGCCATGAATATCGATTGCCATACAGCACAGCTTTCGAAGTTGGTAGTGAAGGTCAATGTCAGCTGGCTATAATTGCCAGGGTGCCATTCTTGGTTCCTATAAAAAGCCATTGAAACCAGGATGCACGTTTTGTTGACATGGTTGGCCGTGCAACGGATCAGTAGTCGTCAGTTACCGGTTTCAAGTCCCGTCTCACCAGTTACCAGCGGCTTCAAGTCCCGTACGCCTCTGTGGCAATATGACGACAAGATGATAGTAACAAATGCAGCAGACTCAACCTTTTAAAGCCAGCAGAGCTTTCTCCAATTCTCCTAAACAACACTTTTCACTTCTGCTATCGATATGGAATCTGTTAGAGGCGCACATGGCACCTTCAAGCCTGCGCCGGGGGCACAGGCTCAGAACAAGCCGGGGTGAGTGGTGTTTTACACAAGCGAAATAAATCTACTAATATGGTATGCTAGACTGGAGACCATAATGGCAGAGCCCAGTGAGTCGACCAAGCTGGAGGGCCTTCACGGCTTTTCAGAGTATGTGGGTTCCGGAAAGCTGAAGGGCAAAAGTGCTCTAATCACTGGCGGGGAGTATGTGTGCAAGTTCACATGAGAAAACTTGCCTTGGCTAATCATTTTTCAGTTCTGGGATTGGTAGAGCAGTTGCTATTCAGATGGCCAGAGAGGGTGCGGATGTTACTATCGTTTATCTGCCCGCAGAACAGGTAGACGCTGAGACGACCAAAAACTCTGTCGAGCAAGAGAAGAGGGCTTGCCTTCTTGTCCCAGGCGATTTGAAAGATCGCAACTTCTGTTGTCGCGCAGTGGATGAACATGTGAAGAAGTAAGTCTAGAGCAGTGTTCCTGGTATGAGCGAATGACTGACCCGAGAGGCTACAGATACGGCACGATCAATATACTTGTCAACAATGCGTCGAAACAGTACATATGTACGGAATTTGAAAAGACCGATCTGGATGAGACTGAAGACGTCTTCAGAACCAATATCATCCAGATGATGGCGATGGCGAAGTTTGCTCTTCCTCATATGACACGAGGTGATTCGTATGTGCTTCCTTGTCTAATCCATACATATCATCACATGCTCACGCACTTCCTACAGGATCATCAATACTTCTTCTGTTGTGACTTTCCGTGGCTCGGGGACCATGATTGATTATGCTGCAACCAAGGGAGCTATTATTGGTTTTACTAGGTCTTTGGCAAAACACTTGATTCCAAAGGGCATTCGAGTCAATGCAGTAGCGTGAGTATCATCTATCCATCCCTCTTTGAAAGTACTATACTGACGCGTTTCCAATTCAGTCCTGGTGCGATCTACACACCAATTCAAGTGGACACCCGAGATCCCCAGCAGATGGAAGGATGGGGTCAGAAGGCTAGTCTTGGCCGACCAGGTGAGCCTAGTGAGGTTGCGACAAGCTTCGTCTTCTTGGCTAGTGCGTGTGCCTCTCTATACTGTGAGTCATCAATATCCCCACCTTCAAATCCTCGCCAATCACCATGGTGGCTAATATACGATTACTATGCACGTGTAGATGGGCAAATCCTGCATTGTTACCCGCTTGGTGACTAAATAGTGTTAACAGGAGTGATATCTACTAGTGGAGATGTCGCCGGAACATTATGCTGAGCGTGCGCTTGCCATTTGTAACAAAGTGATGTGCTTGCAATTAGTATCAAATTGAAATTCAACAGGATATAAGATCAATAAAGGAGCCACGGCTTCCCTGCAGTGAGAGCTTTGTCCCATCCCTCGTCATTCTGCCAGATGGCGACACTTTCAATCTCCTCTCTGCCTAGTTTGAGTCCATTGTAGAGATGCTAGGCCTTATTTCAGTACTTGTTAATTTCGGACCGACATATACAACTTACTGGGAAAAGTCCTTCACCGGGTCGAGGGCCAGACACTTTCCCGTCTGGGGACTCCCACCGGATATCTTGGATCACGCGACGATACTCGATCCGCAACACATAGACAAGTGGTTCCTCCGTGAAAAATGTTTTCAATGTGTTTCCCACCTGATGCGCCATCGAAAGGTGTATGAAGCCAGAGGTCTCGTCCAGTTCGCTTACCGTGAGCCGCTCAGGGATTGGCTCGCGGACTGGTGTGGTGGAAGGCACAATCTTGTAGATGTAGCGAGGTTGAGAAAGCAGCGAAGCCATGATGAAAGTGAAGGAGGGAGGCGAGTTAATTCACCGAGTCAATGGGAATAACGAGAAGAGGAGGAAAGTTTGTCAGGTGGTTTCATTTGTTGGCGGGGTCGGTTCAACCGGCAACTTGCCTTTCGAACGCGCTGGGATTATTGCGCCATTATTTGTACTTATCTACTCTACTTGTTCAATGTCCAAGGCAATTTATAATATTCTGGGTTTGATGAGTGGGTAGTATTATCTGTAAAACTGGGCTGATATAAAGGCACAATTCGAATAGGAATTGCGGGAATATATCCCTACAGAGCTTGCAGTATGACTTCAGGGTACCAAGATTGGTTAGACATCTCCAATCATGGCAATCATGCCTTCTTCGGTCTTCAGTGAGATCTCTTAATTCACAAAGAGCTTATTTCGCTTAATATTTCATTGGTCTAGCCCTAGAGATCCATGGATGCCTTGCAACGACAGTGACCTTGACACAAGATGACAGTATCGAGCACCATATTTATGGGAGAAAAGCTCCAAAAAGAGACAAGTCCCTCTCAGAGGCAATAAAAGCCCTTAGGATATCAGCGAGAACTCGTGGACGGAGTATATACTTATGCGGATCAATTGATGCTCTACAATATTAGAATGTACTTGGTGACTTGAAAGATGCCCAGGTGTTTTGGTCGCACGGGACTACGAGCCCACTTAAACCTCCTAATTGCATAAGCCACTTTTGCCAAGACTGCAGGTATCCTGATAGGTCAGATATTAGGATTGGAATGAATATTTAGCATATTGAGGAATTTACCGCGAGGGACCTGTGCGATTTCAAATGATTGCAAATCAACAGTGACCACGGAGTAGCAGATCTATGTTTATTAGTGTGTGACTTGTCGAGTATCACAATCTCTTAGTCCTTCATCCCACGTGATTTGAGATCGACAAGCCACAATCACCTGATTGCGCCTTACCCGATCTGGAGATTTGTTGTGCCCCCTGCGCCCACTTCGGGGAATCTTGGTCGCACTTGCACCCCCACCGTCAACAATTCCATCATCGGGATTCACGAGCCTAGAGCTTACTGACGCAAGTCAAGCATCTATTCCCTGGATTTTCTTCGCAGCTAAGCCATGGGAGGTTGCCCTTGAATGCTACCTAACCCAGAACGTCTCTCCGGAAAAGGACTTGGAGACGTTGTTTAACCTGCGCATTCCGCATTTACCACCAGAGCAGGGATGCGGTCAAAGGAGCGCGACATTTTTCAATCAATTTTCGCATACCGTCCTGAGATTAAATGATGGCGAATCAGTTTCCATCCCTCAAGCGGGCCCAGACGGACCTTCCCTCGCAGTCCACCAGTCCATTACGACACGGGTCGACAGCGTCTACGAACTCATCTGCGTATTCGGTCGCGTCAAGCTCATTTGCTCCTAGTCGGACTAGCACTGTCTCTTCTAATGGGTCGATATCAAACAATTTGGGTCACTTCCGAGGGAAGAGTGAGGCAAGCAGCATGAGCTCAGCAACGACTGTTACGGACGCAATGGAAGGAGGAAGTTGGTCAAATGCTGGTACAACGTATGACAATATTCGCCGATCTCTACGACCACTACAACAAGTCCCTAACACTCCATCCTCATCCGCGAATACTGCCGGGTACCGACACTCACGAAGTCAAACAATCGATGAATCATGCCCATGGAAGGACTATCGACCCGGCACCCCCGAATCGCGTCATCTCCATCTTAAAGAGAATCAGTCTCCTCGTCACCAAACACACACCTACGAACCCCAGAGCCCCGCACCGCCCACCTCTCCTCGCCACTTGTCTACCGTGCCCGGAACATCGCGTCCTTCGTCTCCCCAAAAGACAGTGACCCACAATTCTCATCCTCCGCCGCTGACTGCCGCACTATCCGCACCTGAGCTTGAAACGTTGCAAAAATCATCCACGGGTCATCTCAGAACTCTCTCGAAGTTCGCACAATCCGGCGAAAACGAATTTGGCGCAACCGCAGCCTCTGTGGTGGGTTTGCAAGGCCGAAGACGCCTTAAGCGGGCGGACTCGGTAGCGGGAAGAAATGGCGCAGTATCTCCCGAAAAGCCGAAGGCATCCTCATGGACGGCCGGGAATTGGATGGACCAACAGCGCCAATTTATCCAAGCATACGAGTATTTGTGCCATATCGGAGAAGCCAAACAGTGGATTGAAGACGTCATCCAAAAGCAAATTCCGCCAATCGTTCAGCTGGAGGAAGGACTGCGAGACGGCGTCACTTTGGCGGAGGTGGTGCAAGCAATGTATGCGGGCAAAACCCTTCGCATTTTCCGACACCCCAAGTTACAATATCGCCATTCAGATAACATCGCCTTGTTTTTCCGATTCCTCGATGAGATTGAGTTGCCAGAGTTGTTTCGATTTGAGCTCATCGACTTGTATGAAAAGAAAAACATCCCCAAGGTCATACATTGCATTCACGCATTGTCATGGTTGCTCTTTAAAAATGGCATGCTGGACTTCCGAATGGGTAACTTGGTTGGTCAGCTTGAGTTTGAACACCACGAACTTGAGAAAACCCAAAAAGGACTGGACAAGGCCGGTGTGAGCATGCCTAGCTTCGCAGGTATGGCTGCAAATTTCGGCGCGGAGCCCGAGCCCGAGCCCGTTGAATCGGAGGAGGATCGTATCAATCGAGAACTGCACGAAAACGAAGCCTCAATCTCCGATTTCCAGGCTCAGGTCAGAGGAGCTATGACGCGTCTACAGCTTGGCAATATCATGAACGACCTGTGGGATTTTGAGCCCCTCCTCATTGAGCTACAGTCACGTCTGCGTGGAGATTGGGCACGACAGATTAGTGAATACCGGCTAAGCATGTTCCAGTTTGCAGTTGGACTGCAGGCCATTAGCCGAGGCTTCATTGTACGTCGCAGTCAACAAGGCGACAAGCAATGGCGACAATCTCAGGAAAGAGAGGTCCTGAACTTCCAGAGCCTGATTCGAGGGTCTAGGGCTCGCGCCCAGGCTAATCACCTCCAGACCCGTGCACGACGAGAAGAGTCCGGCGTCAAGCAGATCCAGGCCGCGATAAGAGGTGCATTGCAACGCATGAACGTTGGGGACCAATACGAACAGTCTCGATATGCTGAAGACGATGTGAAATCACTTCAAGCTTTCATCCGCGGTACCTTGCAACGAAAGAAGATGCATGCTCATTCTCAAGAGCTGAACCAAGCCGTCAGTTCCGTCAAGTCGTTTCAAGCTGCCCTCCGTGGTACCTTGCAACGAAGAGAGATGAATGCTCAGTCTCAAGAGGTGAAGCAGGTTGGCAGTTCCGTCAGGTCGCTTCAAGCTGCTATCCGTGGTACCTTGCAACGGCGACAGATGAATGCCCACTCTCACGAGGTGAAACTGATAGAAACACCCGTCAAGTCGCTGCAGGCGGTCATTCGAGGATCGATCGCCCGTCAGAACTTGTCTCAGATGAAGGTTCTGCTCAACAACGAATCGTCCCAAATTGTCTGCATTCAATCGACTGTCAGGGCTCTGATTGCCAGAGAACGCCAAACTCTGCTGCTCCAGGCACTAGAAGAAACCGAAAATGAATGCGCTGCACTGCAAGCTATGGCGCGGGCCGCTGCTATAAGAAAAAACACCTCAGCTATTCGCACCGAGCTTGCGGAACATTTGTTGCCAGTGATCGACCTGCAGGCTATAGTCAGGGGACAGGCTTTGAGAGAATCATTGGATGCACAGAGAACTGCATTGCTCCGGGAAGAACCTTCCATCTTGGAACTGCAATCCCGATCCCGTGGTGGCATTCACAGGCAGTATCTACTTACAAAGCGACATGAACTACACCAGCAGGAACACGTCATTGTTGATCTGCAAGCCCTTGCCCGTGCTGCTATCTCACGAATAGATGTAGGCGATATATTGTCTCGCCTCGAGGAGAATGAGGAAGAAGTCGTTCAACTCCAATCTTTAACTCGGGCAATGCTTGCGCGAGTTGAAGTTGGCGAGATCCTGACTGATCTTGAGGCAGAGGAGGACTTCATCACGGACTTGCAAGCACGCATCAGAGGACTCATCATCTGCAACCGCTTTGAGGAAAGACGCCAACATTATAATGAAAACATGGAGAAGGTCATCAAGGCCCAGAGTGTTATCCGAGGCCGCATTCAAGGCCAGGCTTATAAGAGCCTGACAAGCGGAAAGAATCCCCCTGTCGGAACAGTCAAGGGCTTCGTGCATCTTCTTAACGACAGCGATTTCGACTTTGACGAAGAGATCGAGTTCGAGCGCCTGCGAAAGGTGGTTGTTCAACAAGTGCGGCAGAACGAGCTTGCTGAACAATACATCAGTCAACTCGATATTAAGATTGCCCTCCTTGTCAAGAACAAGATCACCCTGGATGAAGTCGTCAAGCATCAAAAGCACTTCGGTGGCCACATCGGCAACTTGCTATCCAACACCGAGATTTCTTCCAAGGATCCCTACGATCTCAAGGCCCTTAACAAGACCTCAAGGAGGAAGTTGGACCAGTATCAGGTGTTTTTCTTCCTTCTTCAAACCCAATCGCAGTACCTGGCTCGCTTGTTCCGGCGATTACGGGAGGTCAACACATCGGACAAGGAATATGAGCGCATTCGGCACTTGATGATGGGTCTCTTTGGATACTCCCAGAAACGACGCGAGGAGTATTATCTCATTAAGCTCCTGGCACGATCCGTCAAGGAGGACATTGAAAGCTTCACATCTCTTCCCGAATATCTGCGCTGCACCTCCTTCTGGAACAAGCTTTTCGCCTCATATGCCAAGTCATCACGCGACCGGAAGTTTATGCGCGACGTCCTGGGAGCTGTCGTAAAGGAGTCCGTTATCGAGAACCCAGACCTTGATTTGGAGAGTGATCCGATTCAAATCTACCGTTCCGCAATCAACAATGAAGAGCTCCAAACTGGCCAACGAAGCCGCCGACAACCGGATCTTCCCAGAGAAGAAGCGATCAGAGACCCCG